GTGGAAGAAGGCTGATGAGATGGCGAAGTGTTACATTCTGGCTTCTATGTCAAATTCCATTCAACATCAGCATCAGTCAATGGCCACTGATGCAGATATGCTTCTGAACCTCAAGGAACTGTTTGGGCATCAGTCGAGGGCTGCAAGACAAGAGGCTTTAAGTGCTCTGATGAACACGCGCATGGCAGAGGGTACACCCCTAAGGGAGCATGCTCTCAAGGTCATGGCGCAACTGAATGAGCTAGAGGTTCTTGGAGGTTTTATTGACGGGGAAACCCAGGTCGATATCATGCTCCAATCTTCGCCGAAGAGTTTTGATGAGTTCCGGTTGAACTATAATATGCACAAGATGCATATGGCTCTACCAGAACTGTTGTCAGAACTCCAGTCGGCTGAGGCCTTGTTCACTCAGAAATCAGTTGTGATGGTTGTCGAGCAAGCCGGACCTTCCAGGCCTCACAAGGGCAGGAAGAGGAAGAAGGCTGCAGGAAAGGCAAAGGCACAGAGCACCCAGTTAGTGCCTCAACAGGCTGTGGCAAAGAAGCCGAAAGGTAGATGCCATAAATGCAATAAGTCAGGGCACTGGAAGGTCGATTGTCCTCTCCTCAAGAAGGGCAAAGAAGGTAACTCTCATACTTTCGTCGTAGAAACATGTTTAGCGGTTGTATCTACCAGTACCTGGTGTGTAGATACTGGAGCCACTGATCATGTCTGCAATTCTTTGCAGGGGTTTCAGGAAACCAGACGGCTTAGGCATGGAGAGATTACAGTCTACATGGGCAATGCTACGAAAGTGGCAGCAGTTGCAGTGGGAGTAGTTACTTTAGTATTTGAAACTAGTATTTTGGGTTTGAACAATTGTCTTTTTGTTCCATGTTTTAGGAAGAATTTAATTTTAGTTTCTAAACTCGTTTTGAATGGTTATTCAGTTTCGTTTAATAACTCAGTTGTTATTCGTTTTGGTAATCATTTGATTTGTTCTGGTTCAATGGTTGGCAATTTATATGTTCTTAAACCAAAGTCTCCCACACTGCAACAAAATGAATCGAATAATGTCTCGACTAAAACTAATAAGAGAAAAGAGTCTTCGATGAATCAAGCATATCTTTGGCACCTTAGGCTTGGGCACATCAACCTTATAAGGATTCAAAGGTTGGTATCCACTGGGCATCTTGGTCCAGTAGAAGATCATTACCAGACTTGCGAGTCCTGCCTAGA